GTTAAATATAAAATGTCATGATATCATAATGTCATTATGTAAATCCTTGGTGCAGACACATTTAGAATATTATGTGCTGGAAAACATACAAGAAAGGGAAAACTAAAACAATCCTAGAAGATGGGACACTTCTCAATGAACAAGATTTTTAGTTGATGGGAGAAATTGTTTTGAAGAGAGAAATGAAAATCTGGATAGAGGATATATTTTTGCTCACTCATAACAGAACTCAGCACCACTGAGTGGCATTAGATTCAAAGCAGGCCAAAGAAAATAAGTTTGTACAGCACAAGGATTAACTTGTGGAATTCACTGCTAGAAGATATGGGGATCAACACTTGTTTAGATGGCTTTTAAAAATCAGGTTAGGTTTTTCAGTAGTTACGGTATTTGCCACAATAGCTTAAAATGCTCTCTTTTCTCAGATGCAAGGGACAAATGAAAATGTAGTTCAGCAAACTGCAACTCCCATTTCTTGAATATGTAATGCACAAACCTTCTGTGGCTCTTTAGGCAAAACATCAAAATCAGCACACTGTCTCTGGAAAGCTAGTTCTGTTGAACAAATACTTAGTAGGGTGATCATGGTCACCTACACTTAACAGAACACCAGCAACCCTTTTTGCTTTTGAATAATCATAAAGGACAGTCCCTCACAGAGTGTGTTGCAGCAGTCTAGACTTGAAATTATGAAAACATAAAGGAGTGTTGCTGGGCTTGAATCTGAGTTGCAGCCATCTCACCAGAGTTACTCTATCAACACAACTTCAGACTGCCATTCTCCATGACTGCCTTGCAGTAATGCCCTTGTGACACACAAACTGGCCGGGAGGTGATGGGAGTTGGAATCCAACTAGTCAATATACTCTCAACATGATTAAAACCCCATTGAAGAAAGTGGCACTGATTTTTGCAGTAAATGTGCATGGGGGTGGGGTGGGGGTACAGGGTGTATTTCTCCCTTGAAAGCTTTTCCTTTAATTGAATAGGAATATTGACATAAGGGAAAGTGCAGCTAATAAGAATTTGACTACCTTTAATAGAATCAAGCTGTCACCCCTTTCATAAATTGTCTTTTCTTTTTTCTCCCGTTGCTTTTTAAGTAATGTAGGCGAAAGTCAGGAGTCTGAGACATAAAACAGATACAGCACCAGTCAGCGCATGTGTGACCTATTTCAGCTTCTAAAAATGTATTTAATGCCAAAAGCTACATTGGAGAATTGAAACAAAAGCTAACCACGTGCCACTTAATAAGACACTTTTGATTATTCTCGTGTTTAGTCTCAACTTTCCATCCCCATGATCATTTCATTTGGGAAAAGGGTATTTTAAAGAGCATGCAAATTTGATTGCTAGTTGGATGGGGAAATCGACAAGGAGCCAGGCCTGTGTGGTCTTCGGAGGAGCAGCAGGGCTGGGTTAATCAAGCTAAGCCCATTAGGAACTGATCCACTGCCACAGATGAGATTTGCTAGCATTCCACACCTGTAAATCTCAGCTCCTCAGCCTAGCATGAGTGTGATTCTGTTCCCTGCACATTTGTCATAGGAAACTAAATCATTATCATATCACTCAGGGAAACTCACTAGACACTTATGATCCACCTCCATTTCTTGCAACAGTTTGAGCAGAAACAACTGATCTCTAACAAACACTTCTGTTTTGTTCCCACCCACCCATGAATGAAGTGTGGGGAAGGGACTGAAGAATTTCATCAGCTTCTTCTTCCTGAAAAGTAACAAGTCACCAGGAACTATTAGCTCTGCAGGATTAGCTCTCTGCTGGTGGTGCACTGTAGTTTATATGGTGTGGAATAACTGGGAATTGTGCAGTTATGCATATGATGGATAGTCCTACTTTTTGGGAAGGCATTTGAATAAGATTGACTTTGTTCCTTACCAACACAGTGTTTTTGATGCTAAAGGGGGCATTGAGGAGGGCCAATCACCAAAGGGACATAGTGTATATTGGATGGGCAGGCCTCAGGCTTGTGGAATCAACTTTATTTTACACTAGAACCCCAAGATTCACCTAGAGAAGACACTTAGAATTAAATAACATGGTGTTTCCAAGCAGCTACCGGTAAGCCCAATAATTTGTTCCGAGTACCTGAATGGAACTGAGCTCACAGTCATTCCAGACATAAATCCACATTTGGTTATTCCAGGCTTTATTGATTTTAGCAGTATAATTGGTTGGGGGGGGGGGAGTCATTGCTGCTATTGTTAAACAGCTGGGAGTCAGAAATAATTGTAAATCAACTGCAAGTCACCTAGATCTCTACCAGTAGATCCAGATCTATTTCTGCTGCCCATACCCAAGTAGCTCAGCTGGATAAACCATATGCTGAAATGTGGTGCATTTCAGCCAATGTAGGGCTCCAATGACCTACGAGTTTTCTTGGTTCAAGCAGGGGCGCCAGCTCATGGGGGCTGAACTGTTTTGGGCCTTCAGAATCCTTTGCATTCAGAGAGCACTTTATTCAGTTTTCCTTATGTTTCCTTACCTGATACATTTCCTTGTTTCATGGGATCTTTCACACAATGGAAAAGCCACTTCTGGAAAACTAGCCGCATCTAGCAGAAGTTTAGTGTTCACTTCTGTGTTCTTTGCATCCAGAAAAAGTCAGTTTGCAACCTTGTTAACTGGGGAAATCATGAGAATTTTGAGCTGTCATTTCAGATGACAAACTTTGAGGTAGTAATCCAGCATACAGTTCTTTCTCGCCACTTAAAATTTAGTGCAACGTGATGGTCTATCAATTAAAAAGGGACACAGTTCCCTAATGCACCAGTTAACGTAGTATAAAAAGAACGCTAGAATCTAGGATAAACATGTAGCTACCGTTATAACCAGGAAAACTCATACTATAATCCGAATGCACCCAAAATGTGACTAAGTGAGGCATGACTCTTCTCAGCTACTGCTAATTTTGGAGGTGGGCTTCAATCATTCAAGCACTGCCCAGGGTTGCGAGTGTGATTAAAATATGTAACAACTGAACCATTTTGATTTTTCAAAGAGCAGACAAAAAGATGCCAGCATTCTTCTGCCTGATACTATTCATGTACAAATTATTCTGAGAAAAGATACATTTATAGATTACTTCCAGGGAACCTTTATATTTAGGCTGACAAAGGCACTCAGGTAAATTCTAGCTGAAAGTGGCAGGAGAATATTATCAGTGCTATAAAGACAGGAAAATTTCTCCGATTGAAACCCTGAGTCTCCAATCTTCTATGGGGGGTGGGGGGAATTATTTACTTCTCCATTTTGTTGCCTAACCATCAACTGAGTGACACTTTTGGATACAACCCATAACTAACAGGTGATCATCCAAACCATACATTTAAAATACTCTTATCCCCCTTTAATTATCAGGACTTCCCCCAAAGAATCCTGGAAACTGAAGTTTTTAAACAGAACTGGGAATTTTAACTCTGTTACAAACAAACTACAGTCCAGGAATTAATAATAATTATTTGCCCTTTACCAGCAGATCCCAGGGTGAGTTGCAACAATTAAAAATTAAAAACAGTTAAAACAGATTGCAATTACATGAAAAGGCTTGGCCTTGAAAACACACATCTCAGGTGGCAGAGTAAAATGGCGTATCTTCAGCATTTGCCAATATCAAACAGAAATAGGTTCACCTATTTTGTTCTATCAAGCAACATAGGATTCCGTGGTTCATTTTCCCTTTCAATATGCATTCACAGCAAGATCCTGCGAGATACATTTTATGTGGGATAATTGTGCAATGCATGTGCAATGTGTCTCCAATGTATTGGCGTGTGTTGATTTTTTTATGCGTATACAAGTGGTCTGTTGTTTTCTGCATTCTCTCTCACTCAGCGTTGCTTAGAACAGATCCAAAGGGAAAGTTAACTTTAAATGCTTTGCAAAGGGGATGTTCACTTGCATTCCTGCCTCTCACCAGGAAAGAAATGGATGAAATTAACTGAAATAACTCCTGCTGCTGATTCCTTTTATCAGAGATTATTTGAAGTGGTTGTTTTTCAAACTTTCTGCCTTAGCAGACATTGAAACTGACTTTGCTTTACATTGTCCATTTTAAACCAATGAAACAAAGAGTTGTACGTAAGAAATTTCAAAGCCACCCCCTTCCTGCCCCCCAAAATAAAGTCCAATAAACATACATATCTTCAACTGGATATACTTGGCAGTTGTATTTTAGCATTTCCAAAAATTGCAAAAAAATGAATATCAATAGGAACACTCTATTATTCCTTAGTTTATGATATTGTCTTTCACCTGTTGTAAGCTACACAGGACAGATATGGAAAATCTGTAAGTCGGTTTCCCCCCAATGGCTTTCATGAAGAAGCCCACAAATACTGGCCTGATAACCAGTGTTTCCAAATTACCTGGATTGAGATAGGTAGGTTCCAGCTGGGGGTGGAGGGAGGAGTCCATTACTGAAGCTGAATAAAACTATATAGGCCTTTGAGGAAGATACAAAATTATTATGACCTTTTCCAGTAACCCCAGGAAATATCAGCTAATGAACAAAATGGCAGAATGTTTTGGTCGGTTTTTTGTTCTTCCATGCAGCAATTCCCCAGAGCAGCTGCCGGCAGCCTTGAACTCCAGGCTTGGAGACAAAGAGGAGACCCACATCCTGTTCCTGCATTTCCTGCGTGGGCAGAACGTCAACCTGTTGCAAAGTGTTGCGCAGCAAAACCAACAGCTCCCCCTAATGGCCATGAATGCACATTGCACCTAGGTTAATTGTATATTAGGAACACTTGAGTCTCTGGGAGGTTAAAAAATATGAAAATATCGTGAGGGCTACCAAAGAAGCACACATGAGACGAAAGACAGAGAAACAGAAAAGCTATGAGGAATTAACATCTCGACCTCCAGAGGAAGAAAACAGACAGATTTGGAGGAAGCCCCTCCCTTGAAGAAAAAAAAGGGGGCCATGTCCCATTGATTCAGGGATTCAGAACCGGATTCAGAACAAATACAAACTTGGCTTACATAAAGGATGTATTTCTTTATTTGAAAACATTATACAGGCATTACATTGCCACAGCCAGTCCATGTTGGAGCATGCAAATATCAAAACAGAAGAGAATTTGTTCAACTTCTCTGAACATTGTTGTTGGACATTGTTTCGCTTTTGTGTTTTTTTTTTTGGTTCTTACTTCCATTTGTAAGTGTCAAAATTAGTGTGCTTTATTATGGCATTTAACAATTAAAATCCTACCCATGGGGTAAAATTTGTATTTATAGCTAGCTCAAGAATACTAAATTGGTTGGTTGTTTTTTTTTGTTTTGTTTTTTGAAAAAAAGAGAGGAAATACTACACACTTGTCAAAAATGTTAATGGCACAAGTTAGCAATATCTAAACTATACATTGAAACATCTTCATCTGACACAGTGGTGCAAAATGTTAATTGCTTGGTCTGCTGTGGTTGGTGATTGTGTCCTTTAAGTCTGTGCATGGAAGAAAAGCCAAGCTGTCCACTAGTTTTCATTCAGTATCTTGCTAATACCCATCCAGCACCAACAGGACTTGTATTCCAGGAATTAGCCTATACAGTACTTGTGAAGTGATTGTTTTTAAGCTGGTGGTGTAGCTACTTGCTGGACAGAAAGACCTTTGCTGGTGTCCACTGCAACTCTTGGAATGGTAGGAAATGAAACTATTTTTTTAAAAGTAACTTTCTCTCATGGGATGGGCCTCATTTTTAATTATATAATGTTTATAAATTTATACCAGTGTTTCCTTTTTTCCCTCCCCAATGTTCTTTAATCAGATACAGGGGAAAAAATTATTGTTCTAGTATTGGACAGTATCGACTGGGAAAGGCTCATTGCTTAGTAGTAGTACACATAAATTGCACGCAGAAGGTGCTGGGTTCAAAGCACAGCAACTCCAAGTAAAGGAGGTCAGCAAGGCTGGTGGACTTTGCCTGAGACCCTGGAGAGTTGCTGCCAGAGAAGACAATATTGGGCTCAACGGTATAATGATCTGACTCAGAATAAGGCAGTTTCATAAGTTATGATGTTTCAGCGACATGTGCAAGAACACAGTTTGGCTAACTGAACAGTGCATTTCTGAATATTCCCACTTCCCATAATACAGTGGAATAATTTGAATTATCCTAGAAAAATAGCTTCAGGTGGTGAGTTTCTAGCCATCTATAGACTGCAAAGCCTAGTTCTGGTAAATATTCTCATCAGAGAACTGATAGATGCCTTCCATATGGTTTGTTTCTACTGAGACTTAAATCTACAAATTAGTGTCATAAAAATGAAATGGGGGGAAAACCCATCTACAAGAACATTTGGCTTACAAAATAAATACTAAAAAATAAAAGTCCTCAGATACAAGGAAGCAAAATGAATGTTTAAGCAGGAAACAAACACATAAATTCTTCAAGAAATTGTTATGTCAAACATGAGACAACAGATTCAGAGAAAGGTATTTAATTGGTATAAAAGGTAGCAAAAGCAATGGGGGGAGATGGTGATGGCCACCAGTAGACTTCTGATTTGAAACCTGAGAGAACAATTAAGGCTCCACACCTGAACACACCTGCACGCAGCCAAGCCCTGTTCTTTGATGCACATAAGTATGTTCAGAATCGAACCCTGTATTTGTAAAGACTGGCTTGAACAGAAGAAAGTATCCAATACTGAAGCTTAAACAAAGCACAAACTTAAGGATATAAGCAATATTTAAGCAATGCCTAGGCCTTGTGTAGACTCTCAGGAAAGACATTCATGCTAAATGTGCAAATGATCACCTATTGAAAACACCCCAGTCCTAAGCAAATGACGGGAAAGTTAATTTCGTATAATTGTTTTATACATGGGAGGCCAGTCCTTTAAAATATAACTTGGAGGACCCTTGGCACTGCAGTGAATTTTGCCACTTAACACGTGTGTGGGGTTTTTTGGGGGGGGATGTGTAAAATTGAAGAAGACTGCTGGTGGATGCAAGGCAGAAATTACCGGTTTTGCCACAGAAGGAATTAGTCATATAAATGGCTCTGACTTACTGTGTTTGGCCTGAAGCAGCCCTGTTTTCACACTGCCGCATTTTTAATGCATGCAAAAATTCACTAGTGAACCTGGTAGGCAAAGGCCTGATTGCAGCACTGTTGCCCACTGCCAATGGTCCTAATCCAGACATCACTCCCTGTGGGTTCTTCTGTGTGCAGGTATCCAGTAAATCTGGATTTACTCCATGGAATCACATTACTCCTACACAGGATAAGGGAGCGGACACCTTCCTCTCTCCATCTCTCACTGAGGTTATGAATGCATTCCTTCAGGTCAATGCCATGTGCCACACCAGTTTTCTGAATGCAACATTAGTTGCACACAGGGTCTTCCTGCACACAAGCATCCCTGAGTAATCATTTCCTTAGCAGAAATCCTTCTTCTTTCATTGACTAGGTGACACTTTTTCTTCTTCTTTAGTTTTCTTATAGGAAAATATTTTGGGGCCCATAACACCCCTCCCCAAATGCCAATCTATTCCCCAAAGGCCAATTCTTGTCAGAAGACGAGATTTCAGCCAACAAGGTTTCTACATACAGAAATGTTGTGGTTTGCGTCAAATGCGCCGCAAACCCTGCTAAGAATCTAAGAAAGTGTTTCCTTGGCACTCCCCAGCTCATTTGGGAAACATCCAATTACTTTGAAGTCTCATATCTTTACTCTCCTTCCCTTGAGGTAGGTAAAATAGCATTTTCTCACGGTCACCAGTGAGGAGGCGAAGCTATAACTGAAGTTATTTGACTCTTCCATTGTAAGGAAATCTCTTGAAACACTTTCCTATTACTCAGGCACAGCTACCTTTCCTGTCTCTCAAAGAGAGAGAGCTCTAGATAAATCAATGACTCTTTTGTTTTCAGCCGAAAACAAGCACGCAAATCAAGGTGAGCCAAATGAAATTTGCAGCGGTTTTGGCTTCATGCAGAAAGGCAGGAGGTTGTTCTGACTTTGCACATGTCTGAAGACGACTGAGGATCTTGCTGCCCTTTTCCTTTATAAACACAGCAGTCCAACTTCAGCAACCTTTGGGAGGACTAAAGACCATGTGCTGGACTGAGAGCTGTGCCATCCTGGGAGCTGGTGCAACACTGGCATGCCAACCACTCCTCTTGTGTGACTTTGGGGTGTCTACATTACCAGAGCGGCATGGGAAGCAGCAGTTCCCATTCTACTGTGGGAGAAAGGAATAACAATTGCCTTTAAAAAAGCAAATATGGACCATGTTAAACTAAATCATTGTACTAGTGGAAGCCACTGCAAAGAGTCCCGCTTCCCCCTCTCTCCTCCTCCTGCTCCTGTGTGTCTTATGCCACCTGCTCTGAAGTTGGGGGAACCTCCAGGACAGATTTAAGGGACATACAGGGAGAGGACAGGGGAGGAGGTTCCACCGCAGAAGAAAAATCCTTATGCTGCTAGAACCTTAGTGGTAGTGCCCTGTTGAATACGGAGCCAAATATGTATTTGACCAGAAAACAACTGGCAGAGAACTGATCAAGTACTTGCTTTCCCCACTCCTGCTCCCATGATTACACCGAGATAGTCTGAGCCTGATTTACTCCCCCCGCTTCAAATAACTAGTTCATTTTCACTTGGTTATGTATCTTTGTATAAACTGTGTAGCTTGGGCCACACACAGGGATTCCAAACACACGGGCATCTTCTAGCATCAGCAACTTTGATATGCAGGCAAAGGTGCGGTGCACACAAATATTTTTAGCTTGAAAACTTGAGAATATTTAATTCCAAGTCCCAGTTAAATCCAGGTGAATGGATTTTAAAAATCCAGAAACAGCAGACCAAGAGTTTGAAGAAATATGAATAGTCTCCACGAGGGTGCCTCCATCAGAAATGTGGAGTGAAGTGCAAGGCCTAGGAACATGCAGAGTTCGCAACACTGCCTGAGCCACCTCCATCTGGCCTTCTGTTCACCTTGAATGCAGAGAAGTCTATAAAACTGTGCTCCCATTCTTTCTCCCCTTAGCCAGAAGACCCACAATAAATAATTAAAAAATAGAAAAAGGTACTTTCTTAGGACAGATTCAGTTTTCAAAGAGTAAGAAATGGGGATTGTTTCATTTTGTTAGTCTGCAAGATTAAGACACTGAAGAGGAAATACAATTTCCTTCTCACTGAATGGAGGACCTCAGCTACCAGTAAGGCGATTGTAAAAAATTTAAAAAGGTCAACGTCTCACTACTTCGCAATTGCAAGTACTTCTTTAAAAAGGGCAAAAATGTTTTTTTTTGACCTATTCCTAGAATAGAGATGGATATTGATAGTTGTCCATCCCCTGGCTTCCCAGAACACATGATTCTTTAGAGAGTGGGCAACCAGGTAGCTAAGACAGCTGAATGAACAAAACGGCACTGGGGTATAGAGGCGCTGTGATTAACCTGCCCTTTCCTGCACAGAACCAAGGTCATTGGAGAACAGCTGACGGGTGTTTGCGTGCAAGTGGGCCTACTGTACAACCGTGGCTTTGCTGAAACACTATATAACCCCTGGCAAAGCAACCTCCAAGAGGTGCAGAAAGATCCCTTTGTTCATTACAGAATCTCATCTTGCATTCTGAACATGTTGTTTCGAGTGACTTACGTCTTTCTTTCTTGCATTAGCTGCGAATTACCAAAGCCAACACTTTTTTATAACCCCTAATACTACAGACCCTTTTCACTAGGGATGGGCCATTGCATTTCCACTCACCCTAAAAGTGCTAAGGGTTTCCCCCACCCAAGTGTTCCAATCAAACACCCCAAGCCCTGCAGAGCACCTGTCACCTACACCTCTCCCCCAAGGCAACCCTTGCTCCAATCCTGAGAAAGGAAGGAAGTAAGTAGGAAAATGGTGGGAGTTCCCATTTATACACAGAACAAGGCCTTTTCTTTCCAGAGACCTGGGACTTGTTTACAACACTCAGGTTTCCTGGTGAGTTCTGCTGCCCAGCCTTGGGAGGAGCTGATGTGCAGAGGAACTTTTTCTGCTAGGGATCCTGGGATTTTGTAGTCAACTGCTCTGCATGTTGACGGGAACACCCGCCACTGGTACCTCCTAATCACACCTTCTTCCTCAAGGGAGAGTTTTTGTTCATCTGTATTTTGCCTTGGGGAAGAGTGGGGAGGTGGTAAAGGGGGGCACACCAGAAGTATTGGCAGAACTGAGGTAGAGGGTCTGTTCACAGCAGGCAATCCAGAATTTGAGCAGTGCAGCCTGCACCCTGGTTTGAATTCCTACCCCACCCTGCTTTTCACATCAGCTCATCTGCTGAAGGACCCCTTGCCAGGAAGCTCCAGCACATTGCATCACATTCTTGGAGGTTGTTCTACGGTGCATATTCAGTTCAGGTATGGCACTGGCCAGGCCAATCAGACCTCCCTGTTGCTGCCCATGACCTGAGTGTGCACCCTTGAACATACCTGCTGTGGACACCCCAACGGTAACTTGGCAGTAGGCAAGCCCTCCTGCAGGAAAGTTGCCCACCATTGCTGAACTTTTCATTAAGGAGCCCTGATAATATGTGAGGAGCCCCAGCTTGAAAAGCACTGCCCTACGCAAAAGACTGAGAGTTACTGCTCTTGGCTATACACACATAGAAACAATATAGTTTGTATTTTTAATAAGCCTTCCCTATTTGCTACCTTGCAGCCCACCTGAGTAACTGCATCCGGTAAATACCTTTCTCTATGAATGATACAGAGATAATGGAGATACAAACTCCACTGAGGGTGGCAAGGGCCTGAGATTAGGCGACTCGGACGTGAGGTTCTTCTTCCGTTTCCTGGCCTAGGCTGGTGTATGTTACTGACGGTTCCAGCTGCCCAGAGGCTGGCAAGTCTACAACAGGACCCGAAGGGTTTCGAAACTGCTTGTACACCCGTGGGTCTTGGGCAACATATGTGGACGTTGAGGAGTACAGCACCAGCCCCACAAGGATTGTGAAGAACGACAGAAGATATAGTCCTGAAAACTAAACAGAAAGAAGCTGGTAAGAGGCATGCTAGTTAAACAATACAATATGAAAGATTACAGAAAGCAAAATGCAGACATGGCCTGTGTTCAGGAAATCTTTCCTCTCCAAAGCAGTTTTTACTTTTAAATAGGACACTTACTTGTCAAATGAGAACTCAGTACCAAAGATAAATTATGCAAGTCAGTACAATGCACATTTGCTTATTAGACTTTTGCAAAAAATTGTTCTGAGCCTTTGCAAAAATCTAGAATTTCTTGCCAAGAAACACAGTGTGGTGGAAGAAAAATAGATGTGGTTAAGTGACAGGTAATCAAGGCACAAAAGGAAAGAGGATGCACAATGTCCCAAAAAAATCTTGCTCCGGAAACAAGTGCACAACAGAGGTTATGTGATTTCTATCAAGAGAAATCTGCATGGAGAAAAAAACACATCAAAGATGAACCAAGGCTACAATCCTATGCAAGCTTATACAGGAGTGAGCGCCCCTGAACACAGTGCAGCGTGTCTGCGGAATTTATTTCTAAGACTGTATTCACATTCTTTGAAGTGGTAATACAAAAGCAATAAGTGACAAACGACAAATATAGAGTGTGTGTGTGTGTGTGTGTGTGTGATCTGAGCAGCAACAAAAACAACATTTTACCATATCCATTCAAGGACATTGAACGAAAACAGCATAAAAGCATCAAAACCCCCCCACACCTGAGCAGTATCAGGCTAAAAATTTGATGACACTCCAACTAAATACCAAGTCCAAATTTCTGGCACCAGCACAAAGTGAACTAAACTGCTGTGAATTAAGTGAGGTGAGCTGTTGGTTGAATTTTGAGGTCCACACTTCTGCATCAGGTCCCCCAGTTCCATAGCACGAATGAGTGCTATATTAAAAGAGCCATACAGGTACGGACTTGCTGTTATGCTGACGTTAAAGGGAGGTTTAAATGGGATTTGGAGCCACCTTTTCTCCACTCCATAAATAAAGTAAGTAAAAAAGTAAAGTAAAGTAAAGTAAAGTAAAGTAAAGTAAAGTAAAGTAAAGTAAAGGGGAGCATACTTTGATATGTTATTCCATTCATTGGTCAAAAGAATCTTAAGAAAAATGAATTATTATACAAATAAAACTGAGGCCATTGTGGGAAGGACAAAGAAAGGGTAGGTGAGATTATCACTTTCCTCCAACACCTTTATGTTAGGGCATGGAGTAGAATAATAAACTAACAATACATGATGATAATCACAGTCCAATGTATTTTAATTTAACAAAGCAAGAGTGCATGCTCAGAAACTCTTCTAGGCATGACTCTTCATCAACAGGATGCACTAGGTAGCCCACCAGAAATTGGTCACAGATCCATCAACAGACCACGAGTCGAGCTTCAATCCACCCCACACCCAGACCCAGCATTAGGCACATAAAAACTGAAAGGAGTCAAAATATATACTGTACAAATAACTGAAGTATGAATAATCAAAGATAAACTGAAAGGAAAACTTGTTCAGCTTCAGATAAAACAAAATTTTGGAGAGACAGCCTAAAACTTGTATTCAAGAATATGCGCCAATGATTGACAAGTGCAATTTATAAGCCATTACATGGGATCCTCATGTACTAATTTGAACAAGATTACTCATAGGTTCGTCCTCTGTTCATATAACCAAGTGACTTGGTTTTGCACAAAGAATGCCTTTTTTTTCATTTTAGGAAAATGTTAGAACCGCAGGATTGAAGTTATTAGGAGGGATGTGCTTTGATAATCCTTCTGTGTTTCTTTAATCCTTTAAGAAAACAGTACTTAGTTTAATTCAAAAGGCATTTAAACCAACTGTTGATCCAGGGTAAGCAACATTTCTTCTGCTTGTTGCAAGAGCCTTCCCGAGCCACAGTATTCATCATGCTGTATGGCTTAATATAAATGCCTTGTTGCCTTGACAGCTGAAAATATCATGTCAAAGAGCAGTCAGTGCTGAACGGCAGCTTTCATGTGGCAATGGCCTCCGTGATACGGTCTGAGATGAGACCTTCAGTACTGTGGCAATTAGGCTTGTTTAGACATTGTAGAACCAGATGGGCTTCTGTTATCTTGCTCCTGCTAGACTTATAAGTGATTGGTGGCTTGTTGGGTCATGACTGCTGCTCTTCATGTAAGATGAAAGTGTAAAAACCACTGAACTTACTTTCTCCTTTTATATGACTGCCTCGGACAGTTGGCCAATATGTTTATTAAGGCTAACCAACTGTCCACACAATTGTGGAAAGCTACATAAAGCACTGGGGGGTGGGGAGGTAGGACCAGAAATAGAAAATGCATAAAAAGTACAAAAAAATAGATTGGATGTTGCAGCCATAAGACCAGCTTTTAGACTCAGTTCTAAGATGGAAACTGCAAACTGAGTCTCTGACAGGCACTATAGGGATTGGATTACACATTGAGGATTCTGGGACAGCAAAACAACAGTCGCTCAAAATTCCTAAGAGTGGATTATTAGCGAACCCCAGAGCATCCTCCTGGTGTCTATGGCTTTGAGAGAGATAAAAATACTTGAATGTTCCATACATATTGGCAGTGCTGACCTAACGACAGTCAATGCTAAAGCAGTTATTAGCTGTCTTTGAGTGTCATAAAGGTGAAAGAGGTGGCAATTCAGGAACATTTCTACATAAGGCTTAATATTTATTCTGAATTATTCACTTTTTAATGTTCTCTAGTTATTCATCTTATCAGACAGCAGTTGACAGGAGGTTTTTTTTTTGGAGGGGGATTTGCTTTGTTTGTGGGTGTAAAAAATTAATAAAGTGTCAGCTGCCAGTAGTAATTGATTCTGCATTGCTGTATTTGAAGCTAATGGCTACCATAAATGATGGAGCCTGGATCTGTTGTTTATTTCTTTGTCGCTGAGCTTTACAATGTCTGCATCTAGTATGACTTGCCAGAAAAAAATATTTTTTATCTCCCTCATACAAAAGTATCTCATTCCCATACAGAGAGAAGCAAGTTATTTGCAGCTGCAAGCTCATTAACTTCAGTATGAGTTATCGCGTAAGTCACCTGGCAAGCCTGCAGTGCTGAGGTTTCTCTGAGGGTCTGCTATGCTTAGACGTTGTTTTGTACCAAAATATTCTACAGTCACTGGACCAAAGTAGCCCCAATGAATGAGAGATGTTTTGAGCAAGTGCACAGTTTTTGTTGCAGATCTGTTCTTCATCAGAGGCTTTGGGTTAAAAAAATGATGTTGCCTTTGAAAGCAGCTCCTGTGTCTCCTTCCGTAACTCATCTCATATCCTGACAGCATTTCACTGGTCTGGTCTGCATGACACAGGAAGCTAAACTATGGCTTATAGATGCACAAACCTTGGCTACAGCTCAGATTAGGGAGCTTAACAACAAGACCTGTTTCAGGTGTCACACACACAAAGCCAAACTTTGGCTTAGTTTAGCACAACATAGCAGTAAAGAGGACCAGGAAGGAGGAAAGCAGTCCTGATCTGGGAGCCCTCCTGGTCTTGGTAACTGATAGTGTCATGCCAAGCTGGTCTATGAGTGTTCCCTGCCTCTGGCCAGTGGTATCAATGTGGTCAACTGGAGGCAATGGGATATTTTGTGTAATAGCAACAGACAATGAGATAAGATGTGTTGTACCTTACAGACAGAAGGCAGATTAAAAAAAAAGAAATGTGAAGTTATTTACATTGTTCAATATGTTTTCAAGACATGCTTAAATAGGGACTGCAATTTCTTTCAAGTAGCAGATCATGGGTTTTACACAGAAATATACTTTTCCTCTTTCTTGTTGTGTCTTTACTACTGTATATTTATTTATTTAAAAACCACAGATTTATAGACCTAGCCAGTCACTCCTGCTGCCTTCTCTACCAGTTGAGAAGCAAAATATTCTGAGAGGCATCTCATCTGCTTTGAAACATTCTTGCTAACATATCTGAAGGGTGGATAATAGCTGGCAGCATTAGAGCAACAGATTTTACCACAGAACTAATGTGGAATGTCTTACACAAAACTGGGGAAGATCACAGAGGAATTCTGTAAGAGGTAAGAAAGCTCTCACTTTGAGAGCCAGTTTGGTGTAGTGGTTAAGAGCAATAGACTCATAATCTGGTGAACCGGGTTCGATTCCCTGCTCCTCCACATGCAGCTGCTGGGTGACCTTGGGCTAGTCACACTTCTCTGAAGTCTCTCAGCCCCACTCACCTCACAGAGTGTTTGTTGTGGGGGAGGAAGGGAAAGGAGAATGTTAGCCGCTTTGAAACTCCTTCGGGTAGTGATAAAGCGGGATATCAAATCCAAACTCCTCCTCCCTCTTCTTCTTCACAGGTTTCAGCTGAATTTATTTGGATTGTGTGGGTTAAAGATCATGGCTTAATTCAGGTGTGGGGAACCTTTGGCACACCACATGTTGCTGAATTATAGCTCCCATCATCACTGGCCATTGACCAACTTGGCTGGGGCTGATGAGATCAACAACATCTGGATGACCATTGGTTAAAAGTGTTAAAGGAGTCAGCAAGCAGGTAATGGGAAAGGTCTCTTCCCAAGATCCTGGAGAGTCACTGCCAGACAGAGCCAACAATACTGAACTAGATGAACTAATCATCTGATCTGATCTAAGGCAGCTCCCTGTGTTCCTTATCCCTTTGCAGGGCAGAGTGCTTTCAAGGTTTCATGGAAGATCCATTTGCATAAAAAAACTAAATAATTTGTGTCAGAGATGTCAGTGGTCTAAACATACAAGACCGCCGAACAGAGGCGTGCATGCGCATTAAAAGGCGGACGAAATATACTGCACATGCATGGGTTGTAAAATATTTTTAGTACAAATCTGGTTTTGTTCTCTGTAGCATCTTTCTTTTGTTGGTGAACTCATCCCCACCCCACCCCCCATGTAACAATGAGAGCAAAACACACACACACAAAAACCCAATTACCTATTGATTTTCAAAAGTAAAGTCCATTGTATATGCAATTATAAATCTCTAAGGTCTG